TAAGAGAAAAGGCTCTGCCTTCGAATCATCCCGATTTGGCCCTGTCCGTCAATAACATGGGTACAGTGTATTTCGACATCGGTGACTACTCGAAAGCACTTGAATTTTACGAAAAATCACTTAAAATAAGAGAAAAAGCTCTGCCTCCAAATCATCCGGATTTGGCTATTTCCTACAACAACATCGGTCTAGTGTATAAGAACATGGGCGACTACTCGAAAGCAGTTGAACTTTACGAAAAATCACATCAAATCCTTGAAAAAGCTCTGCCTCCAAACCATCCACATTTGGCTACTTCCTACAACAACACCGGTGGAGTGTATAACGCGATGGGTGACTACTCGAAAGCACTTGAATTTTACGAAAAATCACATAAAATCTACGGAAAAGCTCTCCCTCCGAGTCATCCCGATTTGACCCTATCCTACAACAATATGGGTCAAGTGTATAAGAACATGGGAGACTACTCGAAAGCACTTGAAGTTTACGAAAAATCACATAAAATACGAGAAAAAGCTCTGCCTCCGAATCATCCCGATATGGCTACTTCCTACAATAACATGGGTACTGTGTATTTCGACATGGGTGACTACTCGAAAGCACTTGAATTTTTTCGGAAAATCCCATGAAATCTTCGAAAATGCTCTGCCTCCGAATCACCCTCATCTGGCTTTGCCATACAACTGGTTCGGAAAGATTTATCGCAGCATGAAAGATTATCGAAAAGCACTTGAGAATTTCGAAAAATGTCTCGCAATATGGAAAAAAGCCTTACCTGACAATCATCGGGATGTGGCTTTTGCATTTAGTAATATTGGTGATGTTCATCGATTAATAAGTAATTATGAAAAGGCACTTGCATTCCATCAAAAAGCATTAGGTATACAAGAAAATGTTCAATGTAATCCTCTGGAATGTGCAATGACATATATAAATTTAGGTGAAACTTATCGCGAAATGAAAGATTATTCAACGGCATTGACATATTTCGAAAAAGGATTAGAAATACGTGAGAAGAAATTACCAAAAAATCATCCTGATTTAGCTGTTTTATATCATAATATGACAAAATTATATTTGGCTACACAAAAATATAGTATGGCAATGAAAAATATTCAACAAACAGTTGAAATAGCTCAAGAAAAATTACCTTCAACTCATCCTCATCTTTTGGAATATAAAGAAACATTTGAACAAATTCGAAAGGAAATGTAATTTTTTTTTTCGTTTACTTGCTCAATAAATTGATTTTGATTCTTTTTCACTTCCCCGACTTTTCTAACCTCATTTTCACGCGTGCGCGAGCGCGCGACCAGGTAGAGGCCCTATGCGTATGAAACGGGTGCACACAGAGCGGGCCACGCCTGACGGGTAGGGCAATGTACATAGGTGTATCGTACATAATGACGGCAGGGACCTAAATACATTAAAGGCCTTCCCGAGTACTACACTGCTTTCGCCATTCCATGACGAACAGAATCTCTCTCTGGATCAGGTTACGAAGCCACCTGATAAGGCTGTGATATAAATTGGTATCTATCTTCTAACATAAATAACATAGACTTAACATAATAATAATAATATACACTAAATGTGTACAATAACGATGAAAAAAATTATTTCATCCAAAATAAATCATCTATATCTCATTCTAACATTATCTCAATGTAAGTATTGTTATGAAAATTTAATTTTATTATTGTTCTTCCAAGGAAACAGAAAAGAAGTTTTTTTTCAATGTTTCAACTATTTATTTATTTGTTCAAGTCTTTCTAAAGATAAATAAGATAATTTTTGAAGCAACATATCGATTCTTGTTATTGGTATAAATCAATAATAAATCATATTCTTTTTTAACATTCTCATGTTTTTTATAATTTCATATAAATCAAAAAACGAAGAGATGAATTTTAAAAACATCATAGAATGAATTTCTATGATAAATCAATATATCCTAACATGCATTATGATTGAAATCAAAAACACTGTAAAAAAAATGAATCATAATATAACATCATTGAATGAATGAATTTCATTATAAATTAGTTCATTGTAAAGCAATGGATTTAAATAACATCATTCAATAAATTTCATTCTAAAATAATATGATTCAATGAATATCATTGTGAATTAATGAATTTTAATATAATATCGTATAATAAGTTTCATTGTAAGTCAAAATATTTGAATGAATCATAAACTGATAAATTTCATTATAATATAATGCATTTTTATATAATATCATTCAATAAATATCATCATAAATTAATGCTCTTTAACAAAACATAAGACAATACATTCCATTGTAAAATAATGCATTTTTAAATAATATCATTCAATAAATATCATTGTAAATAATGAATTTAACAACATATAATAAATTTCATTCTAAACTAATACACCTTAATATAATATGATTCAATGAATATCATTGTAAATTAATGAATTTTAACATAATATCATATAATAAATTTCATTGTAAATTGATACATTTTAATGCATCATAAACTGATATTTTTCATTTTAAAATAATGCATTGTAACACAATATCATACGATATGTTTCATTGTAAATCAAAATATTTTAATACATCATAAAATTGATAGATTTTATTGTAATATAATGCATTTATTGAATTGTACAGAAATGAATTTTAATAACACCAATCAATAGATTTCGTTCTAAAAAAAATGTGGAAACCTCGAATTTAAATCCTAGAGTTATGTGTACTTCAAAAAGTGAATGAGACTGATTAGTCATCCTAGAATGTGTGGGCATAAAAATGATCCTGGCAAACCTTTTCTATAAACAGTTAATTTCTATTGGTTACTGGTTAACCACTAGGATTTAGAGATGAATAGAGCTCAGATTTGGACTCTTCGCCTTGACTTACCCTAGGAAAGTCGTTTTTCCGATAACTTGATTTCTATTGGTTACTGCTCAACCAATAGGAGTTCGAGGCAAACGGAGCTCAGATTGCAGTTCTTCGGCCCAAAAAACCTCGAACTGTCATCTCCATGATCGAAAGACAGAGCTCTAATTGTCGATCAATTAGAGTGTGAACACAAACAGAACCAATTCCCGTTTAATTACCCTTGCAATAGGCGAGTTAGTCTTCTTGTTTCTTTATGTTTTATATACCATTTTGTAGCTCGTGAAATTCTCTATCGAATGGTGTATAATAGTTGGGGTTTGATTTGACTATAATAGGAAAAGTACTTTATGAAAGCGGGGATAGATCGATTCTCGCATAGGAAGGCGTGGGAAAAAATGACTATTTTTCTAATAACTCAGCAACGGCTCGGCCAATCCTTCTCATCTTCGAACTCGACCGAGATATTGTTGAGACTAAAGTGTGTAGAAAATTTCATCGCAATCGGACTCTCCTTTCAAAAGTTATCATGTAAACGGCCGGCCGGCCGGACGGACATACTGACCGATTCTAGAGTGTACTCACTTTTTGAGTACACAAAAAATGCATCATTATATAATATCGATCAATAAATATCATCAGAAATTAATGTATTGTAATCCTTTGCGTCCCAAATTATTTCTACTGGACACTGACACGTCTAGATAAAAACCAACATGCTCACATACGGATTCACGCGCGCACACCTACACATCCATATCTACTAACTCGATACCCACCACATCCACACCGTCGAACATTCGTTATTGCTACATTCCAGTAGACTACATAATAATTATTAAATATGTATGGATTTCTTTTTCCTACTACAGAATTCAAAGGGTTAACATAACATTATGTAATAAATTTCATTATAAATGTATACATTTTAATGTATTATAAACTCATACGTAGCATTGTAATTATATTTCATTTATAATATTCCAAGTAATTATAAATTGATAACTGTAATGTCATTCATGAAAAATCATAATGTAAAATAATACTAATTATTGTAAGTAATATAAAAAAATTGTAATCCGTGAAAAATAAATCATATGAGTGTCATGTTTTATCTTTATTGAGCATGCTCATGGTTTATTCGATCGAATCGTATGAGAGCACCGGTGAAAATGTGTTTCTTATATATATATGTTTTTAAACATACATTGCCAATCAAAGACATTCTAATGATGCTGATATCAATTTGACGAACGATAATTGATGATGATGTACACATTCAAATATAATTGATTAATCATCATATGATTAATTGAAATGATGAGACACGAATTGATTTAATCGTTTTTCATGTGCATGGATGTGAACACTTGTCATTTGTTCATATACACTCCTTCATGGGCAATACATATTCTTTTTTTTCGCTTTTTTTTTGGATCAGAAGAAATTATTTGAAATTCAAATGATTGATAAATAATGGTGAAGGAAAAGTGAAAGATAAAATCAATGACTAAAAAAGAATTCTGTACATCATCATCATCATCATCGAAAAAACACAAGCAATTAATGTGAATCATAAATCATAGAATTATTTTTCTCGACGTTAAAGCTCAAATTAGTACCAAAATTTAACATTTGGTAAC